CCCCCCAAAAAAAAAACAACTGATTTTGCGAAACTTCGCCTCTGGTCAGCTGCATTCGAAGAAATCACACACCAATGACAAAGCGCAGCTTTATCTCGCGGGCCAATTCCGCGTCCGCTCCACATCGTTTGCGCCTGCAGGACACATCGACACCACTGCCGCCACGCTGTTCCCGACTGGCCATGCCCCCTCCCCCTCGGCGAGGCCACCTTCCCCGGGGAAATCCCGCCGAGCCCTGGGCTCATTGCCTCGTTTTCCGAGCGCGCGCCGGCCGCCGCGGCCGCCGGCGCGCCACCGCGTGGCGCGCCGGGCCCGGCGCGCGGGTCACCCGGCCGGCAGCTGGCGGCCGCGCCGCTCCAGCGGCGCCGCGCGCGGAGAAAGTGTTCCGAGAAGCGGCTGTGCGTGCGGCGGCGGGCCGCGCGCCGTCGTGACGTCACACGTGGCCAGGTGACAACTGCGCAGTACAGCCGGCCGAGGCCGACGCCCGCGCGGCGGTGAGCACGGCCGCCCGGCCGCTGCGCAGCGCGGCTGGCCCGCGCTAGCGGAGGCCGCCGACGGCGGCTGGCCGCCCGGCGGCGCTTGCTGCGAGCCGCGACGAGGCGCTGGCAGAGAAGACATGCGACCTCAATCAGCTGCAGAATTGGGTCTGCCATTAAAGTTTCCGATTTTAATTTTCTGGACATGAGGGAGGGGTCTAATTGCAAAAGACAGCTGTGTAATGACAGTTGCTCAAGTACAAGCCTGCCTCCATACCCATGTTAGCCCAATAAGTCGCCCGCCACCGCCGCCAGTCACAGGGGCAGCGGGGCAGGGGCAGCCAACACTTTCCGAAATTATTTTAGCGTTAAAAAACTCCCGATAAAGAACTTAAGTGGATTACGATGCCTTCATATAATTAATTAAAAATATAAGTAACGTGCATTCAAGCCTGCGAGGTATGGTAAGCGGATCTGACCTAAATTCTGAGTATATTGCGTACAAATTTTCGGTATCGTCTTACCTCTGCAGTACTATTTTTGCCAAGGTGTTCTGTGTGAAGTAATTCTGTGCGATTTTGGCTTTCACCCGAAACCTACGGCGGGGTAATGACATAGTGACATATGGCAGCACCTGCGCAAATACGTGGTCACCGCAAAGCCGGCTGCCACAACAATGTATCGATGTTGGCGGCGAGTTTCACACGTGATTCCGTTTCTGTTGTCATGTTCTCTTTCCTTCCGCTGTGCACCGCCTGTCGCGTGATTATCGAGAAATAACAATGAACGAATGAAATGAGAATGAAGAGCTGTCTTGCCCACTCGCGTGGCTCAGGCTCGAGAACATTCTCCGATGTACTCGGTCACGTCATGGAACGAGCCACCCACGTACAAGGCGTTAACAGAAGCGGCAATCTTTCTGCTTTTCTACATCTGTTAGGAATGAAAAGATGCACCCCTGCAATAATAATTTCGCCCTGTTGTAGACACAACAACATTAGGGAGTCTCTCTGAACTGTCCACTCCAGGAAGAAGCCAACAGTTTATTTTTTTAATTGAGAAGCAGGGCCCATATCCATAAGGTATGGGAGCGAGAAGGCTCAAAAGGTACAGTTCTCAATACAGACAGGTACCGATTACCGTTACTCATGTTACCTAGCGTTGTCATGCCGTCAAACGATTTTTTATTTCTAATGTCAACACCAGCTCGTAAAAGTGCGACTTTACGAATAAACTGAAAGATGCTGCCACACGCCCGAAACAAACACTGCGCAAAACCAAGAAGCATTGGTAGACAGAATGGAAAAAACGCGAAGATGCGTGATACATGCTGGTATTTTCACGTCGCTCGGAAGCGTGCATCATCATCTGGGCACATAAGACGTAGACATTCCGTTTAGATGGTGATTAACTAGTTCGCTTCAGGGAGGAGCCAAACTGCACATCTGGTGTGGAGGGGGGGGGGGGACAAACCTTGAGATGCCGTGGCCGGCGAAGTTACAGCATCTCCCATTGAAGCACAAGATATCTCTGCTTTCTTCCGTTCGTTCGACGTATTCCTGCCGTTACGCTGCAATATTACCGCGAATTCATCGCTTTTACATAAACCTACGGGTGGTTGGTGTCACTCGATCTCCCACCGACGTCCGCTACACCCCTCAACCCCTCCCCCACCGCTACCGTGTACCCGCGTTGCGCAGTATTTCATGTCATGACGATACCGCGCAGACGGCGGGGAGAGACAAGTGCAAAAGTGCTGGAATTACCATTACTCTGCATTCGTTGGTGTTGAAACACCACTTCCTGGCATCAAGTACCCCTCGCTCCATTCGCCACAGCGCTGGAACACTGCCATGGAAAAACCAATCCCTTCAAGTGACCTTAACATCACTCCGTCAGTCGGGGCGGTTCGAGCGCAGCGCGAGCTGGGCCAGCGTCCGCATTGGTCGGCGCCACAACACGTCAACACAACGGGCTGCACCGCGGCCAGTTCCGACTAACGCATTCCCTTCCTGCCATCCGGGCAAAAACCGCCGCCGAAGCCGCGCGCCGCGCTCAGCCAAATCATCCGGCATTTGGCGCGCCCCTGTTGGTCCATCACTCTCCCGGGCGCGCATGCACGCTCTGCCTCTCCAACTGTCGCCTTCTCACACGACGTCTCCTTTCCCACGGCGTGCTGTGATTCTACGTCCTTTCAGGAGCGGCTCTGTTGAGAAATCCGAACCGTGACGAGGCAGGCGCGAGAGCAGCCGATGCCGCACTCAGACAGGCGATGACCCAGATGGCAGACGAAGAGTGCGGGAGGATGCCCCATCGCAGCAGCCTGACGGGAGAGAGGCGGGAGGATGTCCCATCGCAGCAGCCTGACGGGAGAGAGGCGGGAGGATGTCCCATGGCAGCAGCCTGACGAAAAAGAGTGCGGGAGGATGTCCCATAGAAGCAGACTGGTTCGGAGAGAGTGCAGGAGGATGCCCAATCGCAGCAGCCTGACGGGAGAGAGTGCGGGAGGACGCTCCGTCGTGCCGCCACTGGTCGCACCGCCCGTCGCGTTTTTTTCTTCTTTTTTTTTGGTCACGTCGGGCTACGGCGACGGGGAGAGGCGGCCGAAGTCGGCTGGGCGGGCGTTAGCGTCATGACGCCGCGAAAGCGTGGACGAACGCTCCAGAGCTGTCGGGATCAGGCGGCGGCGACGCGCCGGCGCCCGTCGGGACCAGACACGACCTCGGGCACCAGCGGAGTGGTTCGGGCTCGACACGCCACGGTCCCGTGTCGAGACCATGACGTGTCGGGACCGATGGTGGGGTCCGGAACCGACAGGCCACGATCCCGGGACAGACGGTGGGGCCCGGACCCGACAGGTCACGGTCCCGGGACCGACGGTGGGGTCCAGATTCGACAGGTTACGGACACGTGCGGGATCTGAGAAAGCAGCCGCAAGCGACTCCTAATTCGTCGCCATTGGAACGCGTGGGCGCGCCAAAGGAGGATTATAGCTGCCCCGTCCCATCTGAGCATGGGAGACACACATCATCCTCTCTCATGTCAACCCCCATCCCCTTTGTGTCACGTTAATGTACGACAAGTCATGCCACCAGCGAAGATGCGTCTGGATTTCCCCGCCCTCCTCGTCTGCGGTCGGCCGCTGACGTCACCAACAGCTACAATGACGTCATAGCGGGCCCGGCCGAAGCGGCCTCCGTCTGCGACCATGGCTGAGGTGCCCGCAGCCGTCCCAGGTCACCGGCAGGGCCCCAGGTCCCGGAGAGGACCACAGGCGCCGCGGCGCGACCGCGAGCTGCCGCCCGGAGGCCGCTGACCGCGCGGGCCTGGGGCGCGCCGCCACGGGGGCGGTGGCCGCGTTGGCGTCAGCTAGCAGCAGCTCCTGGAACCGACTCCAGTTACCGCTAGCTCGCTGATGTAACGTCAGGCCATGCCGCGCGTTGCTGGCGAGCGTCGCCTCGGGCGACCGGCAGAGGACAGACAGAAACTCAGGAGGACGAAAAGCGGCTGCGACAGGCGGACTGTCCCCGAAGCGGTCGTGGGAGGAACACTGGCTTCGAAATGGCTGGGGGGAGGGAGGAGTCTGGCCTCGAAGAGAGCGCCCGGCGCGGCCAGTTACAGAGTAAAAAGAGGTATGAGGTTGATGAGAAGAAATGAAGGCAATTGAAACAGCTATAGAGGGCGAGGAGAGTAAGGTCAATGGCTTGCTGTTTGATTTCCGATGCAGCGGAATGTAGGAGAAGCTGTCGAATGCCTGACATTTTAAAATCATAGAAATATCAAATTTGTGCACATATATCACTTGGGCACACAATTATTGACACGAAAATTCGCTTCTGCTAACTGTAGTGAAAATAGGTGCAGTCATCTTGCCCTGCCGTTCAGTTACTGAAAAATTGATAGCACCGGTAGCCGGAATGCGGACGTCACTAATGACGTCAATCGGCGCTGACCAACTAACCGCCGCCGCACCAGTCCCATTTTTAGGCGGTAAAACGCCTGCTACCGGCACGTCTGGAAAACACCCGCAAAAAAAGCAAAGAGAAGGAAGCGGTAATGTTCGAAGAGACAACGGTTAAAAAGGGCGCGAAAAGACAGATGAGGCATGGCAATGGGAAATGAGCTCGGTCGCAGTTCGGGAGATGCGAGATGTGTGTGCGTGTGTGTGTGTGTGTGTGTGTGAGATTGGGGCTTTACGACGCACTCAGCTGCTGAGGCCATATGGCGTCGCCTGCCTCTCACCCTGGCATGAAGGGCGGGCACCGCGGGGAATCGAACCCCGTACCTCTGGTTTCCCAGACGCGCAGCAGCCAACGCAGACGCGCTAACCACTACACTACCGGCACCGGAGATGCGAGAAAGGCGCGTGTTGTCGCGGGATAACACCACAGTCGTGGCAGCGATGTGGAGGATCTGCGCCCGCTGCACCGATCGCCGTATGCTCCCATGACACACCGCACACAGCACACCGCACACCGCACACCGCACACAGGGGGCCGAGCGGGCGCGCGGCGCGTGCCTTACCGCCTCATCGTCGCTGCCATTGGCGTCCAGGCTATTGCAGCTGTCGGCGAGGTGGTTGTAGCCGTGCTCCCACGTTCTGCCTAGGCAGGCGGTCATTGTGTCGTGGCCGGCCTCCCCTGCGGACACGGACACGCCGCTCGCGTCAGCACGCGGCAGCCAATTAAATCACCCGCAGCCAATCCAATCACTGCACCCAATCTGATCACTGCATCCAATTCGCTCACTGCACCCAATCCGATCACTGCACCCAATCCGATCACTGCACCCAAACCGATCACTGCATACAATCTCATCACTGCAGCCGATCCCCTAACTGCACCCAATGCAATTACTGCAGCCAATCCGATAACTGCACCCAATGCAATTTCTGCAGCCAGTCCCGACAACGAACGGTTTCCCAGAAGAAGCACGGAGAACGTTCATACCTATTTGGATAGCGCAAATAATTTTTCATCTTCTCTCTAACGTACTCTGGGATGGGTTTCCGGCACGCAGTGCTGGCTCACAAACAGTAGAGCGAGGGTCAGAGCACGCATTCGATGCAGTGGGGTGTACGGTGCTTGGTTACCAACCGTGTGAGGCTATTTGGCGCCGCTGTAAAATTGGTGCTCAGTGTTGCAGGCATTTAGTGCGGCAAACGTGATGCGGGTTGGTATCTCAGATTTCATTGTTCGTTATGCTGCCCCATATGGATGGAGTTTCCAATTCATTTGGTGAAGCTCCTCCAAACTTTGAGGAAAAGGGAGCCAAATCCGGGGGCAGACCGATTTTTGACGTATTTTGGGGCAGCCATAGTACTTTTCTCCATTCAACCCTCCTAACAAATTTTGCGAAACTGACAGCCTATTTTTTGTGATCTTCTTACAATAGTTGTCACGTGATGTCCCATGCTAAATGTATATCGTCCCCAATTTAGGCGCCAGTTCCCCCACATCACTATCGTGCCGTGTGCGCCATCATGTACTTTGGCGCGTTCCGTTGGTCTCCGGTGGTGCAGTTCAAATACAGACGCCAACTGTGGGACGTCGTGTGTGTGATCCGGAACTGGGAAGGCGCGAACGAACAGATAACAAAACAATAGTTGCATCGGACTGGATCATAGGGCGGAATCATGACGTCACGTTGCTATCTTTCAGAAGTAACGGACTCGTTTGAATTTAATGGGAGGGTAAAAATGAGATTAAAATTTAGCTAAACCAAAGTAGAGAGAACAAGTTGCGTTCAACATCGAAAAAATGAAAAAAAAATCACTGAAGTTCATGCCTTAGCAGCAATCTGGGCACGCGCTGCCAAAAATGACACGTGGCGCTGAGCCACAGAGGCCAAACACTACAGCTTCTCTTGTTCCACCTCTCGCCCCCCCCCCCCCCCCCCCCCCGCCTCTAACCGCTCACTGGCCCGACAAGGACCAATTTGACGCCATCAATGCTTCTGCCGTCAATAATGACATGCGCTTCTACTTCTTACGAACATATCAATCTTCAAAAAGGATTGGGGCGTGTCTTTGCGGGCAGGCCCGATTCGTTCCACCGACACTACCACGAGCAGAAAAACGAATCTCTCAAGAACAAACCATAATTGGATGCTGGATTTATATCTGTGGTCGACGGGTCCGTTTCGCGGCCAACATAGTTCACTGACCTCTCAGTGCATGTGTTACCCAACGCGTTCTCCGAGGATAAGGTATGTAAAAAAGGTATTCCCTAAAGGTATCCCTAAAGGATGGTATCCCGTACAGATACTGGGGAGGCTGCGCGGCATGGGCGTCAAACGGCAAGGCACGATACACTGACGTTTCTGAGATTTTTGGTTGCAACCTCCACCACCCAACACAGACGGAGGACTGCCTCATCACCACTAATGTAAATACCTCACTCGCATGCGATTGTCCGGTATAATTGCAAATCTTGGCATAAAACATCGCCATGAGTGCGGTGGAGAAGAACTTCCACTTAATGCCGCGCCCGGGCACACGCCATGTCCGCACCCGAACACAGAGTTGAGAGCCGCACCAGTGGTTGCCTTGAGGCCCTGCTGCCGCGGGCCGGCGGAGGCGGGCAGCGCCCGTGGGCTCGTCAGTGGTGCCGCGGGCCGGCGGAACGGAGCGGCGCCGGTGGGCTCGTTACGTCAGCGTCTCCCGACACAAAAAACAGCGCGACCAAGACAAATGAGCCGCTGTCGATGGCCGGCACCGGCTGACACGCAGCCGAAGCACGCCGGCAGGGGAAGCGTGCGTCGGCGGTGGGCGGCGCCGTGTTGGTGCGGTTTTACGGGTCCACCCGGTCAGGAGCTGACGCAGCCAGCGCTACGGACGCGTCGCCAGCGAGAGGCGAAACCACTGTAGTGAGGACCAGTTTACAGTACTGATGTACGGCGTCGCTGTTTTACAGCAGTGGGTAAACCCTGGAGTGTTTAAAAAACGCAGTGCGAATCGAGGCATCACGGCGGTCCGAAGTCCCCCGGGAATCCCGCTGCGAGGATCTGGAACGCTCTTCATCAAGGGCTGCCAAGAAGTTTGCTCGGTTCAGCCAGTGTTTGCAGCTCACGGCGGGAGCGGGATCTAACCGTGCGTTCCGGTAACAGCCGATTTGCTGACAAATGAGACTGACGTCACTCTCAGCGTCGCACGTCTCGGCCGGTCTCACACCATCTCAGCGTCGCACGTCCTCAGTGTGGCACGTCTCAGCGTCGCATCAGCGCTTAAGTGCGTGGGCCGGAAAAATACGCAGCTGGAGAGAATCGAACCCGGCATCCGCCCAATCGCGAGCGTTTGCAGTCTCACGTTCATGTGGTTCAGGTTTGGGAATTCAGGGATTTAGGCCTCGGAGGGCCACGCCCGCTGACTAACGCGGGCGCCAGCAGTCGCGCAACATCACAGACGCAATTAGGCCTTGAGAAACGGACACAGAAAGTTGGAGAAGCCGCGATCGATTTCCCGCTACCGGCCAACCGCGACAGGCCGCCCGCTCTCAGAAACCGTGCGTCATTTCGGCATCCATCGCAGGCGGCTAGGAATCCGAGATGGTGGTAGCAGGCAGCCAGTGACGGCAGAAATCAGGAGTTTTGCGTCCTAGCGCGAGAGAGCTCGGTACCCCGGCTCCAAACCAGCTGCGCCCCCCCCCCCCCTCCCCCTCCCAGGAGCGGTATACATCCCGCCTCATCAGTCGGTGGCGGGCGCCCGGCGGCCCCCGGCGAGCCCCCGGCAGGCCCCGGCAGGCTCCGCCCATCATTGCGTACGGTGCCGCGCCCTGGTCGAGGGGACCGCTTCTGAGAAGCGCGCGCAGCCCCCCCCCCCCCCCATGTGGATGAACGCCGACACCGCCGCCGACGGGCGGACGGGGCGGTCCGGCGGCGGCCCCATTCCGGGCGGCGGGGCATGGGAAGCGAACAGGGTCACGGGCACCGGGCCCAGCCGCTGCGAGAGGCTCGGCCTCAGGAACAGTGGAATCGGCCGACGGCGGATTTAGGCCTTGAAATACGGCGGCTCAGGTCTGTTGGTGCTGGCAAACAGTTGGTTGTCTGTTGACCAACCAGGACAACAAATGGCCTATGTGGACAAAATGGGACATCAATTTCGGGAAAATCTGCAAAAAAAGCGTGCAAGCACAGAGTTCAGCCATAATGCTGTTCCATGGAACTAAACCAGCCCGTTTTCACAGAGTAATCGGGTGCCAGAACTGATGCCGGACGCATCTCATCACACCCCTGAACGCGTCCGTCGGTGGCCTCCATTCAGCGTGTAATTTGCGTCCCCCCCCCTCGCCCGCCCCGAGCGCCCCCTGGCGCCAGCACCGCGCGGACAGCCGGTGGCAGATCTCAGAGCGCCGCCCACCGAGCGAGGTCGTAAAGCGGGCCGGCCTGGCTCCGATCTACGATCTCGTCACCACACGAGCCGGCAGCGACACCAGAGCGGGCTGCCATGGGCGGGCTCGGTTCGCCGGGGTCCGCTGGCGTTCGCTGGGTCCGTCGCGGCCGGCTGGGTGGTCACGGTCGCATTCGACACCGGTGTACCCCGTGACGCATCACTGGCGCCGAGCCGGCCGCTGCCATCCTGCGAACGCCCGCCACTGCCATCCTGCCAGTGCCGCCGCCGGGGCCAGCCTGTGCCATCCTACGAACGCCGCTGTCGAGCTGCACGTTCTGCATTCCACTCTTACGGTAACGTTCACGAGCTTAACTGTTCAGCTCAGGGCCAGCGCTGGCCAAAGCGATCTGGGCATTCGGCAGCGGGCTTTGGAAAGCCACCAGCAAGTAGGGCAGGAAACAGCTTACCAGCTGCAATACTGTCATCGGCAACATCGTCTTTCGTTCCATCGCTACCCTGTCCAAGTGATCACTGGTCCCTGTCCTAGTGACTATCGGGCCCTGTCCTAAAGGCTACCAGATCCCGCCCTGAGGACCACCGGACCCTGCCCTTGCGACCACCACCGCACTGCGTCTCCTGTGACTGCGCTGTGCGGTGGCTGATGGCTGCTGTGCGATGGCTGATGGCTGCTGTGCGGCCACTGACGGCTGCTGTGCGGTGGTTGATGGCTGCTGTGCGATGGCTGATGGCTGCTGTGCGGTGGATGATGGCTGCTGTGTGATGGCTGATGGCCGCTGTGCGATGGCTGATGGCTGCTGTGCGGTGGCTGATGGCGGCTGTGCGGTGGCTGACCGTGGCGCGGCGGTGCGGACCGGCCGCTGCAGGGTGCAGTCGGCGTCGTCGCCCGTCACCAGCCCCTGGCCCGAGCCCGCGCTCGAGGCCCGCCGGGACCCAGCCTCGGGTCCGGGGATCCGCATGGGCCGCGACGGCGGCGGCGCACCCTGGCTTCCGCGGGCCCTCAGATGCCGGCGCGACGGCACATCAGATACGGCCGGCACCATCAGATATGCATGCAGCAGCGGTGGACCGCGGCCCCGTACGCAGCGTAGGCGTCCTCGCAAAGACGCATGATATAACGTTATGGCGAGGGAGTTCGCCGACGGCGCTGCAGTGGCCCAGACCATACAATCAATCAGTGACGCCTCACGTGCCGTACAACTAGCCGCCTTTCGCGTCAGGTACACGCAGTGTGGGAGAAAACGAAGATAACCGGCAACGACAGCCGGACCCGGGACGGATCAGCAGAGCTTATCGCAGCGCTCGACCCCACGCTGGAGTGACGTGGTCCGGACAGCTAGCGGCAGTGGTCCGGACAGCTAGCGGCACAGACTCAGTCAGAACACGGCACCGACGGATCATGCACCGACGGGCCCAGCGACAGAGGCTCAGCGGGGGATCCCGGCAACCGAACCAATCACCTCCAAAGCCCACACCCCCTGCCAGTGGCCACGTGACGACGAGCCGGGCGCACGTGGGCGCGGAGTGGTCGCTGCAGTCGACGCGCCTCGCGGCATCACTCGTGCCTACCGAGCGTAACGTACGGCCGAGGCGCGCCCGCCGCCGCGCAGCCAGCTCCGACAAGACCACGCGGCCGGCCGGTGCGCGGTGACATAACCCGCTACCTGCCAGACCGAAGCCGGACATCACATGCGTCGATGGCGCGGAGCTACCCCAACATCGCTAATGCGTAGCCAGGCGGCCGCGCGCATTCCGCGAACCCACGCCGGGGCCCGCGAGCCAAACCGGTTGACACACCTCTGGACGTGGGCTATGGGCGTCATTTTCCGAGACCACAGCCATTTATAGGGAGATCGGAAATGCTGTGCTGCAGACGGAGTCGGCGTCCGAGAGGGCAGAACTCCGGGGTTGAGACCTTCAGCGGCCGGGTGCCGCGTCCATTTATCTGCCGTTTATCTGTCATATCGTCGACGTGTAACTCAGTCGTCGCGGGCCCGTCAGCGCCAAAGCGAACCACATGCGGCATTTATGTCACCACAGGCCACTATCACTGATCGACTTGGGATGAAGCCTCATCAGTTAACGGCGTAACCCCATGATGTTCTTGTCCAGGGGAATGTGCCCCACCCAGCCATTGACATTACCTGGCACCTTTCTTTAATGAGGTGCGTTAAGCTTGCATCAACCACTCGTTTATTTTATTTTACAGGATGAATACATCAGAGAACGGAAGAAAACGGAGTATTTTGAGAGTAAGGTGATAATGTGAGTGTCGCCAATGCGATTTGAAAGGCCTGAGTATCCAAATACGGTTAGGAACGCTGCATGCCAAAGGCACAACGCTAAAAATAAAACAATTACGGGAGATTGTGATCCAAATGCAAAGGGTTTATGGGTTGGAAATGAGGCACGCGACTTCATTGTGGTAGGAGCGCGGCGGCTCCGGTGACCTGGCGATGAATCCGGCGACCTGGCGATGGATCCGGTGACCTGGCGATGGATCCGGTGACCTGGTGCTCCCTGTTCAAGCGCCAGCAAGACACGACGATCCCCCTGCTGTGAGGCCGATTCCCGAGCAACCTACAGCAAACCCTGTTTTCCATCAGAGCTATGACTGAGATGCCGGTCGCAAACCCACGACCTGACTGACCCAGTCCGCTGTCTCACATGGGACGGGCGGTGCAGTGGAAGCGGCCTCCGCCGCCGCCCCCTCTCAATGCGGGGGATACGCTACGGGTCCTACTGGAGAGGGAACGTGACGGCCGGTGGTATGGGCATCGCCAACACGTCAGCACCGCGGACTGGCGCGCCCGCCGGCGCCGGTGGGCGGATCGCGGCCGGTTATGTCGCCGCCCAACCGACATCGCAGCCTGGGCCGGCCCTCCCGGGACGGGGGGGGGGGGGGTCACGCGAGGAGCCTCGCCGGACGGAGGGTCACGCGAGGAGCCTCGTCAGGCGGAGGGTCATGCGAGGAGCCTCGTCAGGCGGAGGGTCATGCGAGCAGCCTCGGTGAGGAAGCATACGCATCTTGGCTTCACTGATCCGTTTAAAACGGTAAGTTACCGAGCGCATGTAACACGGCCCGCACATAACACCATATCGCACGCAGCTAACTGTCCGCGAAAAGCCCAGGCCGACCTTATC